AATGGACCTATATTTATAATTTTTTGTGGAGAGATTTGATACCCAATATGAACTCAAAATACCAACTTACAGCCAATTCGGTGAAAAAAATACGGTCAAAACCCCCCAAAAACTGAAAATTGGGAGGTACCGTTATATGGTGGCTAACAGAAATAGTGGACTTTTATTTATAATTTTTAGTGGTGAAATTTGGTATCCACAAATAACCCATTTTACCAAATTTCAGCGAATTCGGCTGAAAACGCGCTTAAGAACCCCAAAATTCTGAAAATTTGGAGGTACCCTTATATGGGAGCTATGCCTAAACGTGGACCGATATAGCCCATCTTCGAACTTGACCTGCCTGCAGACAAAAGACGACTCTATGCAAATTTTTGGCGTTCTATCTCAATTTGTTTAGACGCTAGAGTGATTACAACAGACAGACGGACATGCTTAGATCGTCATAGAATTTTACGCTGATCAAGAATATATATACTTTATAGGGTCGGAAATGATTATTTCGATGCGTTACAAACGGAAAAACAAAACTAATATACCCTCCATACTATGGTGGAGGGTATAAAAAGAAAAAACAATGTTCGCACAAAACCAGGCGTGGATTTAAAACAAACAAAAACCAGTAAGGAAAGTAGTAAAGTCGGACGGGGCCGACTATATGATACCCTTCACCACTATGGGTATATTAAACAGGACTATTAGCATGAAATTGAATGAAATAAAATATGTGATATTTATCTAAATGTGAATCTACCTAGATCTATCCATAAAATATGTAAATCGACTTCAAACAAATATAAATAGGTCATCCGTTGGCTATGTCTGTACTTCTAGAAAACGCAACTATATAATTTTATGCTCAATTTTGTACGATGTGCAAAATTTGATGTCAATCTGACTAACATGAGAAGTTTGATGTCCCATTTACTTGAAATCGGGCGAAAATATATATGGAAGGTCTATTCAAATATTAAGCGATTTCAAACAAACTTGTCACAGGTTAGGTTATACTAATTTCAGAACGTTTTGTTCCTATTGGTTTCTTCAATCTATAATAAAAGGGAGCTATATCTAAATCTGGACCGATTTTCACGAAACAATGCAGACATCACTTTAGGCTCAATTCAGTACGTTATGCCAAATTTCGTGCAAATCGAGGGATATATAGGCACTTTGGTGCACCATTTACATGAAATCGGACGAAACTATATATGGGAGCTATATCTAAATCAGGACCGATTTTCATGAAACTTGGCAGACATCATTCTAGGCACCATTAAGTACGTAATGCCAAATTTCGTGCAAATCGAAGGATATATAGGGACTTTGGTGCACCATTTACATGAAATCGGACGAAACTATATATGGGAGCTATATCTAAATCTGGACCGATTTTCTCGAAAGTTGGCAGACATTATTCTAGGGTCAATTCAGTACGTTATGCCAAATTTCGTGCAAATCGAAAGATATATAGGGACTTTGGGGCACCATTTACATGAAATCGGGCGAAACTATATATGGGAGCTATATCTAAATCTGGACCGATTTTCACGAAACTTGGCACACATCATTCTAGACCTAAATGATTAGGCTGTACCAAATTTCGTGCAAATCGAAATATATATAGGGACTTTGGGGCACCATTTACATGAAATCGGACAAAACTATATATGGGAGCTATATCTAAATCTGGACCGAATTTCTCGAAACTTGACAGACATCACTCTAGGCTAAATTCAGTACGTTATGCCAAATTTCATGCAAATCAAAAGATATATAGGGACTTTAGGGCACCATTTACATGAAATCGGACGAAACTATATATGGGAGCTATATCTAAATCTGGACCGATTTTTACGAAACTTGGCAGACATCATTCTAGACCTAAATGATTGGGCTGTACCAAATTTCGTGTAAATCGAAAGATATGTAGGGACCGTTTACATTAAATCGGTTAAATATATATATGAGAGCTATATCTAAATCTGAACCGATTTTTCCCAATTTCAATAGAGTTCGTCCTTGGGCCGAATAAGTCACCTATGCCAAATTTCATCCAATTCGGATCATAAATGCGACCTGTACTTTGTTTACAATTTAACATGGACAGACAGACAGACGGACGGACGGACATGCATAAATCGACTTAGAAAGTGAATCTATGCATATTCTCAAAAGGAACCATGTGTCTATCTGGTTTCCTTTTGCCTGTTACAAACATATGCACAAAGACATAATACCCTGTACCACAGTGTGGTGATGGGTATAAAAAAACATTTTCTCGGTAAACAGTAAGGCGTGGTTTAAATAAATATCCAAAAAAACTGAATTGCAAGCTTCAAATTGCGGATTATCTCAGATTTTTTAAAAATATTTTATTTGCTTCAAAACAACAAGGCGTGGATTTTATAAAAATATTCTTTCTTCAGAACAACAAGGCGCGGATTTTATAAAAATGTTTTTGTTACAAATATTTTTTCAAAATACACGGATTAAAATAAATATTTTTTATACTACAAATGGAATAATTAAATTAAATTTTTTAAAAACCAAAAACTGTGAAGTATTTTTAAAGAGAATCAAGGCGTAGAACTTGAGAAAATATTTTTTTTAGACATCTTAACCAAAATCAATATTACATCCAATATTTAATTTCCTATCCCACATTATCCTTTCACCAAAATCATTGCTGAAGCCCTGGCGCCGCATCATGTCATTATAAAACCATTCACATCATCATGAAATTCTCATGTCGAGAATTTTCATAAAGATATTTTATTAAAAGACAAAATCTCACACACACACCCGAATCGATGTGTAATACTGATGTTAAGCATCCGTACTTGAACCCGCTCATACCCCAAAAAACAGCTGCGTGTTGCTGGTGAAACCAGCAAACTTGGCACTATCACATAATAACTATTCACTACAATACACTATTCGTTGTGGAGGTTGAGGGCCACTAAGTGAGTGTTAAAGCGTGTGTAGTGTCGGTTGTCGGGATATATTTTCGTACAACGTTGTTGCTTTACGTGACATAAATGCGCGCTCACGTTCTCCATTAACATACAGCAAATTCATAGAAATATTCTGATATCTCGCAAAATGCTCTGTGAACCATGCTGTCGCACTAATATCTGAAAGTTCATTCATTCGGGTGTTCTTTTTTCGGTTGTTTCCATCTAAAGCTAGGTTATGTTTAAGCTCTCGATGATTAACTGTCTGTTTAACCTCATGTCTGAACAGTTTCCATTGTTTGGTCGTTGTCTACTCCAAAAAACGCCACAGCGACACATGTTGAAGTGGGTTGGTGAGAAATTCACCCCTCCCCCGACAAAAACAAAAAAATCAAATTAATTCTGAAACATAGTTTGGTTAATAATTTTATTTAATTTATGAAATTTATTCCATGTACGCGAGCTCATGCACACATACACTCACACACTTCATAAAATATGAGAACATTGTTGTGTGATTCCAGGGAGTGTCTCATGTGTTCAGCGTATTGTCTTGTGGTTGATTTTCAATATGAAGATTGAGTTGAACTGTCACTGGAGTGTCACCTTGTTTTGGAAATTGATTTGTTTCTATTGCTTTGACATTTAAAGGAGTGATCAATTCAAAATGAATTAGAAGTGAACATAAATTCTGTTGATTTTAACATATCTACTATTTGGGTGAGGTTAAATATTGTTAACCACGCAACATTTCAAAATGTATAGTGGGAGAATATACCTATATACTAATTTTAATTCAGAGTAGTTCGCTCTTTTTAGAAACATAAACTGATATAGAAATTCGTCTGGCTCTATTCGGTACGGCTGTTGGTATAACAAATATCTAACGACGTGGTGGGGGTTGGGTCGTGGCTTCTTAAGCAGGATGGATAAATTGGTAGTTGAAGCGACGCGGATCGGGCTTCGGCCCCCTACGAATCCATAACTTCACAGTCACTCACTGCTTTCGATGCCTAGTCTTTTTACAGTTTAAACACTTTCCTATAAAAGCACGCGACGGTTCTTTATTTAGACTCTGCTATAATTACATTTTAAATAAAGGCCCACGACGGCTCTTTATTTCGGTTCGATTTAAATCACTTTTGCTTAAGTAAAGGATGGTTCTCTATATCGGTTCGGTTAAATGTCACTTTTAAATAAACGGCAAGGGCTCTTTATTTCGGCTTCAGTTCTTCTATAAAATTTCCAGGCATTCAGCTCGTCTACAAAGGCACCCTGTCTTTAATTTTGTCTAAATTTTGCTTCGTATATTCAGACATTCTGGCCTGGACTTCAGATCAACTAAAAGACTCCATGAAAATTTAGCTCGTTGAAATGGCTGTGATAAAGCTGGGTTTGAACATGATAATAAATGCCCAGACGAACCGCTGAAGCTGAAGTACAAATTCGTACATTAATGTTACGGAACGTACTAAAATGACTTATTGTGTGGGTCATTTTTTATAAGGTATTAGTTCAAAATTGCTATATTTGTTGTTGTTGTAGCAACTATCTACATTTTTGTTGTATTTTTTTGTATTATTCTTGTTCTGACTCCTCTGTTTCTAGGTTAAAGGCGGTAGCAATCTGGATGGCCTGCATCCAAAGCGATGACGGAAACATATACGTTTAGCAGGACAGTTGAAGAGATGCAGCGTATCGTGAGGTCTAAGTCTACACGCAGGGTATGTGTTTGGTTTCGTGCTGTCAATTCGGGTCCAATACGAATTGTGACGGCAGCATCATTCTTCTTAGTTGGGCTAAAACCAATTAAGATCCGTTGTTCTTATACGGCTATATGTGGTGTTTGGACTCGAAGAACTGCATTCATGTGGTATTGGACCATTGCCTGGGTCGCTGCTTCCTCGTGAATGTTGGTAATTCCTGCTCGATAAGCCTGTTGATCTAGGGATTCCCTATTATGCAGTTGGACCTCTGTCCTTAGATCGTGTAGGTCCCTCCCTATATGCCTGGATGGGGAAATCCTATCCATGAGGTGGAGACATGGATGATTCCAGCGATAACACTCAAGAAGGTGCTGCGTCGACAACATCCAGTTGTTTCGATGTGCGGGTACGACCATTGCCTACTCGTGTAAATGGTCCACAGGTGTCTTAACGGGGCATCCTATCGCAGTTCTCAGGGTGGCATTCGAACATTTGCGAACCACACAGGCGCTGCATAACTTACCACCGACCGACTTATTGCTTTGTCGGTGGTCAACAAGGTAAATTTATCAGCACCCCAAAAGTTGTCGGCACGCGACTTGAGGACCTTCTCATCTTATCACAAATGGCGGTGGCTTGCGCGGGCGACTTAAAAAGCTATCGAACGTTATTCCCAAAAATGTTGAGATAATTCATGGTTGGAATTAGTACACCATCGACCATGATGTTCAGATGAAAAACTGTACTAACCTTTAACCTTTCACAAATATCATCGATAATGGGACCCGACGCTATGATCGTATAATCATTCGCATACGAAACGATATTTTTTGCCACTCGGTGGGTGTGGAATTTCAGAAAGGTAGATGTTAAAAAATTTCGGATACATGACCCCACCTTGGGTAAATCCCTGTTTCTAAGGGGTTTTGACTTTTTGTGTCTGAATTCCACACGTGACTGGCGACCACACATATAATTGATTATCCAACTTTTCCAACTAGGCAGGAGGTTGGTCTTATCTATGTCCTCAAACAGCTTGGCGTGAATGACCGTATCGAAGGCTCTCGATAAGTCAAGAGCCACATAAATTGTTCTGTCTTACTGCCTGTTCTGGTTAAGTTCTTTGCTTACATGTGGCGAGTAATGCTGTAGTTTTGCTGTATATACTCCGGACTCCATGTTAATGTTGAGGAACCGGAAACCTACTTCTCATCAAAGGGAGGAGTAGTGACACAAGCGTCTTTGCTACTGGAGAGAGAAGGGAAATCGTCCTTTACTACTCACCTCTTCTGGGATCTTTGTCTAGTTTAAGTAGGCGGACCACACTGCCTATTTTCCTGGCTTCAGGAACAATGTGGATGGCTGACGACAGGATGAGTACAACAGTTAAGTACTCTACTCCAGGTTCATTGAGATTCCTTTCGGTCCCACCGCTATGGAAGGCTTAACATTTCGAAAAACATCAGCAACATCAACCTTCGTAATTTTTTGTTGTACCACCGCTGCTCGGAGGGCTCTAATACGACGAAGCAAACTCCTTTTCGCTTTGTCACTCTTGGGGTGATCTATGAACTGCCGTTTAAAAAAACTCGTCCACCTCTTCGCTTATGTACGCATACTAATCTGTTGACTTCAAGGGTGAGTTCTTTCACTCTTGGGTCTTCAAGTGTTCTACGATGACGCTCATTCGCAAGCAGCGTCGCCCCTGCTAGGAAGTTTGATCGCACTTCGGGTATACGGTGGGCGGCTGTAGCTGTGATGATGTCTCGGAAATTCCTCTCAGCTACACGAGAATCAGAGGGAAGTGCCGATTGGTAAAACCTTGCCCACCATGGTTCAGGGAAGTTCCGCGTTCAGAGATAATGAAATTGAGTAGTATATTTACGGAGACGCTGAGACCTGAACCAAGAGACTACGTGTAGCTGTCGATTTGCTCTGACAGCGCTGTACCTTTCTGATCATTACTTAGGACAGAATAGCAAAGCTCATGATGGGCATTGAAATCCCCTAGCACCAGACGGTTATTATACTAATGTCGGGTAAATAACGCGACTTTTGTGCAACTTTTCTTCTATGTTTTTTATGTTGTATTTACCTATTTTTGTGTAAATTCAAACTAATTTGAATTCGCCGACGTCGTCTTTGAGTTCCAAGGGTATCTGACATTTTCTCGGAACAGTCTTATTGAGAAATTTACTTTTCTGTGCGTCTTTTTCCAAGGGAACGACTTTTTGTGCATTTTTTAAAATTCTCATCGGTAAAACACGATTGATTAAAAATAAAAAAGTGTCATATGAAAAAATTTTGTTCAGTATATCCAGTGTTTACTGTAATCGTGTTCGACTATAGTAAGCATGGTTTTATCTCACTTTTACATATTAATGAGTATAAGTATAAGGAGTATAAATGGGTACTGAATTAATCGTTACTAAGCATTCTGCAAAAACATACGACATTGTAATCATTATACCTTTATAAATCTAATCGCGGGGTAGAAATTTTTTTAACTTACTACCCTAATCGTTTTCAACCTGTCACAGTAGTCCTGAACAGCCACGGAAATTCACCCATTCCATACATATATTGCATCTCACCAACGCTGTGGATGCGGTTCCGACTAACGGAACAGAACCAAGGTCCAGGATTTCTTTATATCCTGGAGCGGACCAGAAGTGTACGGAGCAGGCATCCCGGGATATAATGCCTCTCACATGTTAAAAAAACACGCACAAACATATAATGGTTGAGGTGGTAGTCCCCGGTCGAAAAATTCTTCCAAGTTAATATGATACATAGAAAAGTCCGCGGTTGGATTACACTGGATTTGTGGAAACTAAAAATTTTAGCATCGATATTTGGTGAACGGATAGGCCATGGTACAATTATACAAGGTAACTGCAAAACTACAACAAATACAATTCAACAACAACCACATAGAAAAATCGTTATTGGTTGATATGTCCAAATATGTAGACAAACCATGCGAAATATCAATTAAATTAAATTTATTTTCAAAATGAAATATTTTTGAATTTTCAGAATAAAATTGAAAAACATGAATGAAAATCTTACAAATTTATAATTCTATCGCTTTCAGATCTTTCCTACAATTGAGTCATTACCATATGTAGATGTAACTCATACCAAAAACGCTAAAAATATCGTTGAAAGTAGCAATTTTTCATTGAAAAGGGATTTGCTGTCTAAAATTATCCCATTAGGATTTTTTCTATACGTGACTTTTAAACGAATCCTTGTCCAGCGACAAAAATCTTAACAAGGCTAGTATACAAAATAATCTATTTCATATTTCATGCATTTTTATTTACGAGCGAAAATTTTTTTTACATGTCCACCCATGTTAAAATTATTTTCTTTCAAATTATAGCAAACATTTAGCGGATTTAAATTTCGTGTTGTTGTATTTTTTCTTGTAATTTACCAAATATGAAAAATGTTCATTCAACTGTCTTCTACGTCTTCTTCTGCCTCTTCATTGACGCTGGCAACAATTTCCTTTGGCATTTCCCGTATTTTACCTGGTTAATTACAATTGCAATTCTCGGTAATAATTTACATGTGCACTCCTCATTATTAACCAATTGCATATTGGCTGGCAGTCACTGGGCATGACAATGACACTGCCCAGTGAGCGAGAGAAGAAGAAGAAGAAAGACCATACATTAAATATGCAATAATTGCATTTTGGTCAAACTGTCACATGTACACAGGTTTCGGTTTGTTGAGTTGGTTTTGGCTTGGCTTGGCATGGGTTCATGCCACTCCATGGAGAGTTACAGACAACAGCCAACTTCAGAGTTCTCGATATGGTCTTTTCCCAATAAATATTATTCTGTGATTTGACATTTCCGCTTGAGTACGTTCGTACGGACGTTTGTATATTTGTGCATTCATTTGAGTGTCTTCCAGGCCATTGGCAAAATGCAAAGATATCTCCTAGAGGCAATGTGCCACATAGTCCCCAAAAGTGCATGCATACTCGTACATGTGTTATTTGGCCACAAAAGAACGGCCTTCTCCTTACAATGTGCATACCATTACCGATGGGGCGACAACCATTAATATGGACACATGTTCGGTACATGGCAATGTGTGGCCATAAATTTGTAGCTAGTAATGCATAATTTACTCATCGTTTTGGTTACAACAGAAGTAACCGAATACTAAGTGGAGACGTCTGTCTCCAGGCATCCGCACTACCTACCGCACCAATATGACTCTATTATTTGGGTATATGTTTAAATCGGGTATATGTGTTGGTCTTATGTATGCTTGTTCTTCATCGTCTTCTTCGATGTTCTTTCAGGGTGCAAAAGGAAGCTATGTCATAAATAATGGCAGGTATTTTCATACGAAGCCGAAGAAACATGAATGTGAACATAATTTAATGTCACCAATAACACAACAACATCAAAACGAAGAGGACACCCCGAACAATGGCTAATAAAGTTGTTGGAGACAAATGTCTTGTGACTTTTATGGGAATGGTGATGGGTGTTGACAAATCGTCACCGAAGGTAGTCCTTAGACAATAATTTTAAAAAAAGGTAGTTACTAGACAATTATTGTTAAAAAATCCACGCCTATGGTGAACTTTGAAAAATAATTTTTAAAGAATCCACACCTATGGTGAACTTTGAAAAATAATTTTTAAAGAATCCACACCTATGGTGAACTTTGAAAAATAATTTTTAAAGAATCCACACCTATGGTAATCCTTGAAAAATAATTTTTCAAAAATCCAAGCCTATGGTAAACCTTGAAAAACAATTTTTAAAAAATCCACGCCTATGGTAAACCTTGAAAAACAATTTTTAAAAAATCCACGCCTATGGTAAACTTTGAAAAATAATTTTTAAAAAATCCACGCCTATGGTAAACCTAGAAAAATAATTTTTAAAAAATCCACGCCTATGGTAAACTTTGAAAAATATTTTTTAAAAAATCCACGCCTATGGTAAACTTTGAAAAATATTTTTTAAAAAATCCACGCCTATGGTAAACTTTGAAAAATATTTTTTAAAAAATCCACGCCTATGGTAAACTTTGAAAAATATTTTTTAAAAAATCCACGCCTATGGTAAACTTTGAAAAATATTTTTTTAAAAATCCACGCCTATGGTAAACTTTGAAAAATATTTTTTAAAAAATCCACGCCTATGGTAAACTTTGAAAAATATTTTTTAAAAAATCCACGCCTATGGTAAACTTTAAAAAATATTTTTTAAAAAATCCACGCCTATGTTAACTTTGAAAAATATTTTTTAAAAAATCCACGCCTATGGTAAACTTTGAAAAATATTTTTTAAAAAATCCACGCCTATGTTAACTTTGAAAAATATTTTTTAAAAAATCCACGCCTATGGTAAACTCTGAAAAATATTTTTTAAAAAATCCACGCCTATGGTAAACTTTGAAAAATATTTTTTAAAAAATCCACGCCTATGGTAAACTTTGAAAAATATTTTTTAAAAAATCCACGCCTATGGTAAACTTTGAAAAATATTTTTTAAAAAATCCACGCCTATGGTAAACTTTGAAAAATATTTTTTAAAAAATCCACGCCTATGGTAAACCTTGAAAAATAATTTTTAAAAAATCCACGCCTTGATATGGACCTTGAAAAATAATTTTTAAAAAATCCACGCCTTGATATGGACCTTGAAAAATAATTTTTAAAAAATCCACGCCTTGATATGGACCTTGAAAAATAATTTTTAAAAAATCCACGCCTATGGTAAACCTTGAAAAATAATTTTTAAAAAATTCACGCCTATGGTAAACCTTGAAAAATAATTTTTAAAAAATCCACGCCTATGGTAAACCTTGAAAAATAATTTTTAAAAAATCCACGCCTATGGTAAACTTTGAAAAATAATTTTTAAAAAATCCACGCCTATGGTAAACCTTGAAAAATAATTTTTAAAAAATCCACGCCTATGGTAAACCTTGAAAAATAATTTTTAAAAAATCCACGCCTTGATATGGACCTTGAAAAATAATTTTTAAAAAATCCACGCCTTGATATGGACCTTGAAAAATAATTTTTAAAAAATCCACGCCTTGTGTTGATGGACCTTGAAAAATAATTTTTAAAAAATCCACGCCTTGATATGGACCTTGAAAAATAATTTTTAAAAAATCCACGCCTTGATATGGACCTTGAAAAATAATTTTTAAAAAATCCACGCCTTGATATGGACCTTGAAAAATAATTTTTAAAAAATCCACGCCCGATATGGTAAACCTTGAAAAATAATTTTTAAAAAATCCACGCCTATGGTAAACTTTGAAAAATAATTTTTAAAAAATCCACGCCTATGGTAAACTTTGAAAAATAATTTTTAAAAAATCCACGCCTATGGTAAACTTTGAAAAACATTTTTTTAAAAAATCCACGCCTATGGTAAACTTTCAAAAAAATTTTAAAAAATCCACGCCTATGGTAAACTTTGAAAAATAATTTTTAAAAAATCCACGCCTATGGTAAACTTTGAAAAATAATTTTTAAAAAAATCCACGACTTTGGTGGTGCTTGAAAATTGAAAAAATCCACTTTGTGTTCAAAAATACACTTCCTTCAGTAATAAAAAAAATGCTTGAAATAATTTTCAATTTGTCTTTTTATTTATTTTGAAATATTTTTCATTTTATTTTCAGACACAAAATGTATACGTCGAATTAAAAAAAAAACAACAACCTCCAAAGAGGAAGAAACCGTGAACTTGAAACAAAGTCAATATAACAACAACAATTTTTATAAAAACGTTATTTTTAAATTGTATCGAAAGAAAAACAAAAAAAAAATCCACCTAAATGTCCGACGAAGTGCCTTCGGGGAGATTATCTCAAATTTTTGATCCGCTTACAAATTTTCAACAACCGGGCAGCACCCAACAACATCAACATTACCATCAACAACAACAACAGCAGCAGCAACAACATCAGCTGCTGAGAAGTAGATCAAATTCCTCCTCACCATCTCCCTCAACATCGGGTCGGGCCACACCAGCATCATTGGGTGCTGCAAGTGCCGGTAGTGCTGGCAGTAGCGGTAGTTCTCATCATCATCAGCAGCAGGCATTTCAACAAAATTATCAGTACTTAACCCAAACTCATAACTACTTCGTTCGCTCTCAAGATGCTCAGGTCAGTGGTGTGGGACACAATTATTTGCACACCTTTCCCTCGGCTGCAAATCAAAGTCATTATTTCCAGCAACAGCATCAGCAACACTACCACACTCAATATGCCACACATCATCCGCAAGCGCATTTGATGTCTCCTTATATGCAGCAACACCACCAACAACAGCAGCAGCAACATTCGTTGCCACCACTTTATGCCACTTCACATTCCTTAAATTCTTCCCCCTTGCTTACCAAACGGGCCATCTCCTTTAGCGGCAACATGCCTTTAAGTCGTCAACAAATGGAATCGGGACTTGGCAGCCCGGCAAATGCTTTTCAACGTAGCCAAGCTACGGCCCAATCGACACCAAATAGTCCACGTTTAATGCCACGTCGGACCCAAAAACCACCACCAATACCGGCTAAACCACCCACCATTAGTAGCGGAACTGGAGTAGGAGGGGCAGCAACAGCCGCATCTGCATCACCAGTTCCCAGTGCCTCAAATCAAAATACATCAGTGAAAGATCAACAAAATCAGGTGAATCCTGCAGCATCATTGGATGGTGCCGATGCACCATGGCCACATTTTTCATCGTTAACAGAATATTTGGATGTTCATCAGGTCAATAATTATACACAGGGTGTACCAGAGGTAGGTTGTCATTGGAGTTATTGATTTTGGTGAACAGCATTATGTTAATTTTTATTTTCCTTATTTCAGATAAATTGGCAAGAACGCTGCCTGGAACTTCAATTGGAATTACATCGTTCAAAAAATCAAGCTGGCCGTATACGAGATATGTTAAGAGAAAAGGTAAGTACCGACACATGTATTTTTTATACATTTTGAATACTTAGTTTTGATTGTCTCCTAAATTCTTTTGCTCTGATAGTCTTTCGAAAATTATGGTCATATAAAACTTCTCAGCAGAATCCACATCAATAGCTCTGTATTTGAAAAATTATTAAAATGTACCGAATGTCCGAATCTGCACCTCTACCACCCTCTGCCACAAGGTGTATATTATATTGATTTTTCCGTTTACAACATTTCAAAATATTCTCCCGAGACCCCTGTTTATATTTTCTATATTTTACATTTACCTCGTTTAGAATACAAGTAAAAATTCTTAAAATCATGATAAAGCCTGTATTTTTTCCTAGAAATGTATTTTTTCATTATAAGAAACTATTTTCATACTTCTCTCCGCTTTTACACTATTTGCGCTCGTATTTTCATCTATCTCAAAAACAAATGTATTCCTCCCACCACCATTCATTATTCGGTTGTGTTTTGTTTTGGTACTGTCCTCTGTCTCACTCACTCGGCGATTGATAGTTTTGCAAGCGGTTGTTTGTCTACTGTTTCTCTTGTTTAAAACCTCGGTCTATACACTCATTCCATTGTAGTTAGTTTTATATTGCATTGATTCTGTATTTCAGACAGTGTTTCCGAACTCTGCATTGGTGTTACAAAATTCGCATATGTATTTTTCAAATTATTTCGATATATGAAAAATTGAGTCCAAGACAAAACAAAGAAGAAAATGCAGAAATCCGGACATTGGCAGCACTTTCCAAACATCATTCATCATATTTGGTATTGTGGGTTCTCACTGGAAAGAACAAGAATTTTCTACTACCACTTTTTAGGATAGCCACCATATAATGGTAACCCTAAATATTTGGTATTTGGAAACCTTTATGTCCGTTTTTTAACATAATCAGCTGTAATTTGGTATTTTTGGTTATCTCAGGGTAACACAGGGTAGTAACTCTTCCTACTAAATCTGACTAATATTGGCTCTCTTTAGTGTAGCTCCCATATAACTGTACCCCCAATATTCGGTATTTCAACCTAAATAGCTATAAATTGGTTTTAGGTTCTCATTGGCTAGGAAATGTTCCTAATTAAAAATATGAATATTGATTCACTGTTTAGGGCAGCCCCCATATAACAGTACCCTCCTATATTTGATATTTTGGGGAGCTTGGACACACTTTTCAATCTTATTAGCTGTAATTTGGTAATTTTGGTTCTCAGTGGGTAGAAAATCTTCCTTCCTTAATCAATATTGGTCCATTTTTGAGCATAGCTCCCATATAACGGTACCCCCAATATTCGTTATTGTGAAGACATTGACTACGTTTTTTAACAAATTCTTTATAATTCTAATGGGATGACAAATCTTCCTACCAAAAAATATCGATATCGCTTTACGTTTTGGTATAGGTCTCATATGATGGTACCGAACCATTTTCGATATTTTAAAGGCTTTAGCCACATTTTATATATCATGCGAACAGAGTCCAATGTCCAAGCAAATGTCCGATTTGATGCCTAATATGTACATATCGTAATATTTCTTTCAAACTTAATTCGAATTGGAAGATGAGTCCCACCGGTCCACTCCATCCCACACAAAATAATCAACATTTTACTGAAAGTTTTATAATATCATGCGGATCGGCTTTTTGATTTGATCTTTGCACGACCTAATACTTTTTGCCATGCCTGTATAATGTTGGAACATGGGACTTATCGGTCTACTCCTTCTAGTACCTCCCTCTCAAAGGGTGAAAATTCTGAAAACTTGTAAAATTCATATCGACGCCTCCGAACCATAGTATGCTAAGTTGACTTAGCATGTTTTAAAGTTCTTTACGTTTTTAGATACTACGGTCCTTAATTTATATTCTCAGACTTAGCATACTATGGTTCGGAGGCGTCGATATGAAGCGAACGAAATATCCAATTTCAACCAAAATTTACACATGGTAATATATATAGCTGATGAAGCTTGTATATGGGACCCTTTGGTTCAATCCTTATAATATCTTCCCATGAAGTGTTAACATTTTGAAAATTTATTAATTAAATATCAAAATAAGGGAATTTCAGAGTTGATCCAAACTTTGTTAATCGAAATATTAAGTTGGGGTAAAATAAAACCATTATTTTTTCGGTAGATGGCTGTACTGATTGATTTCTCGTAAAGTATCGATCAAACAATTTCCGATTTATGCTCGTTGGAAGGGTGACATTGCGCAGTAAAAAAACTTATTTTGCTGTTTTTTTTTTTGTGCATTCAGTTGCGAGTTACAGTGTGTTGAAAATGGAAGTGAACAAAGAGATTCCGGACATTTTACAGTTTTTCTTTGACAAAGGTGAAAATACAAGTCATGCGGCTAAAATTGTGAATGTTGTTTATGGTACCGCTACTGTAACAGCCAATTATTTTTGATGTTAAAGACGCACCTCGCACAGGTAGGCGGGTCGTTGAGAATGTCGATAAAATCGGTGAAATGATCGAAGTTGGGCGGCATGTTAGCAGTCGTAACATCGCCCAAGAGCTAAAAATCGACCATAAAACTGTTTTAAACCATTTACAATTGACCAGAAACTGCCAGAATTGGCCAACTGGAGATGTGTCGTGTTCCACGAAGACAACGCCAGGCCACACACATCTACAGTGACTCCCAAGAAACTTCGCGAGCTTGATAGGGAAGTTTTAATGCATCCGCCATACAGTCCGCACCACCAAGCGATTATCATATTTTTCTTGCATTGCAAAATTTTAATGATAACATGATATCTAGGAAGGATTGTGAAAATCGACTACTAGAGTTGTTTGCAAATAGAAAGCAGGATTTCTATGAGAGAGGCATTATGAAGTTAACTTTAAAATAGCAACAAATCATACAACAAAACGGTGATTATTTGGCTCAAATCGGACATTCCGAAGCTTGTTAAACTAAAATCCTATAGTTCATATAAAAACCAGTAAGGATAGTTCAAAAGTCGGACGGGGCCGACTATATGATACCCTTCACCACTATGGGTACATGCAAGACATGTTAATATCTACAATATCCTGTAGATATAGAAATTTCGCATACATCAGTCGGGACCTAATTCAGTACTCTGTGCAAAATTTTGTCTCAATCGGATAAATATTGGCAGTATGGAGCTTCATTTACAAAAAATGGGACGAAACTATATATAGCAGCTATATCTAAATCGGAACCGATTCCAACAAAATTTCACACACATCAGTCGGGACCTAATTCAGTACCCTGTGTAAAAAATCGGACCACTATTGGGAGTTTGGTGCACTATTTACATTAAATCGGACGAAACTATAAATCGGAGATATATCTAAATCTGAACCTAATTCAACAAAACTTGGCATATAACTATCTAGACATAATTCAATACCCTGTGCAAAATTTTGTCTCAATCGGATCACTATTGGGAGTTTGGTGCTTCAATAAGTTAAAATCGGACGAAAATATGTATGGGAGCTATATCTCAATCTGAACCAAATTCAATAGGGTTCGTCCTTGGGCCTATTAAGTGACCTGTGCCAAATTTCATCCAAATCGGATCATAAATGAGACCTGTACTTTGTGAACAAAAATACATGGATGGACGGACATACATAAATCGACTCAGAAAGTGATTCTTTGCATATTCTCAAAAGGAACCATGGGTCTATTTCGATTTTTTCCCTGCTACAAATGTGGTGAAGGGTATAAAAAGGGGGTTATATGTGGACTACCCCTAAAAGGTGGCGAATATTAACAATTTTTGGGAGGGAGGTTTGTTACCATATACGACTACAAAAAACCAAATTATAAACCAGTAAGGAAAGTAGTAAAGTAGTAAAGCCGACTATATGATACCCTTCACCACTTTGGGTATATTCAACCGATGAATCCTAACAGACGTCGCATTTTGAAAGGACCAGTAAAATGAAATTGGATACATAAATATTTCATTCTGCAACCGATACTAAATTTTTCATTTGGTCAGGTATAGAAGCTATATCTAAATCTGAACCGATTTTCACGAAACGTAACACACATCGTTCTAGTGTATATTCAGCACGCTTTGCCAAATTTCGAGCAAATCGAAAGATGTATAAAGCCTTTGGTGCACCATTTACCTTAAATCGGACGAAACTATATATGGGAGCTGTATTTAAATCTGAACCGATTTTCACGAAACTTAGCACACATCATTCCGGACCTAATTCAGTACTCTATGCCAAATTTCGTGCACATCGAAAGATGTATAAGGCCTTTGGTGCACCATTTACCTTAAATCGGACGAAAATATATATGGGAGTATATGTAAATCTGAGCCGATTTTCAGGAAACTTAACACACATCATTCTATACTTCATTCATTACGCTGTGCGAAAATTCGTGCAAATCGAAAGATATATAGGGACTTTGTTGGACCATTTACATTAAATCGGACGAAAATATATATGGGAGCTATATCTAAATCTCAACCGATTTTCATGAAACTCAGCACACGTCATTCTATGCCTAATTCATTACAAATGCCTAATTCTGCCTAATTCATTACAATCGTGCAAATCGAAAGATATATAGGGACTTTGATGGCCCATTCACATTAAATCTGACGAAACTATATATGGGAGCTATATCTAAATCTGAACCGATTTTCATGAAACTCAGCACACATCATTCTATGCCTAATTCATTACGC